CAAGGCTAGAGCTGCTCCAATGGCCGCGCCAAGCAGCAGAGACGGAATCACCACGACCCTCCTAGGCAGCGGTTCAGTCAGCTCTAGAGTCCTCACCCTCCTCACCACCACCCCACTTCCTCCTGTACCACCAACATCAGCCACCCCCACAGCAGCAGCAGCAGCAGCAGCAGCAGCAGCAGCAGCAGCAGCAGCAGCAGCAGCAGTAGCACCCGCACCAGCAGGAGAACCGGACAGAGGTGCATGGTAGGATCGGTGCTGTGAGATGCTGTGCGGCGCGCTGCTGCTGCCATGTGGTGTTGGCGTTACATCCCTGGAAGAACGTGCTTCAAGCAACCACCAGCCAGGCCATCTCCATCCTGTGCTAGTGCCCCCTCCCTCACCACCACCACTCCCCCGCACACTACCTTCCCTCCCCAAACTCTCCAAACTCTCCACACTCCTCAGATTCCCCAGATCTCTGAATTTCTCTGGACTCTCGAGCCTCTCGACGAGCCTGGGTCGGGTGATTCCCAGCGCGGAGAAGAGCGCGAGGGACGCGAGGGCGGAGCAGGAGGCGGCGCAGGGCACGAGGAGCAGCAGGCGCGTGTGGAGGCGGCGCAGAGCGGCGCAGCGCAGCGCGTATGCGGCTACTGTGTGGAAGAGCGCGAGGGAGAGGCCGCGGTGGGAAGCGGAGCGGCGTTGCGTGGCGGAGAGGAGGGAGAAGGCGCGGTTGATGTCGAGACGCCTGGGCGGGGAACGCGGGAGGAAGCGGCGGAGGAAGGCGAGGAGAGGGTCGTCCTCGGGAATGTCTCCTGCGGGTGGTGGGGGTGGGGAGAGGTGTGGGTTTGGCGAAGGAAGAGGGGTGAGAGGGGTGAGAGGGGTGAGAGAGGTGAGAGGGGGTTGTGGAAGGGGGCGAGTGGAGGGGTGATTCGGTGGTGTAAGGGACCCTGCACTCTTGACTGGTACCCCCTATCCGCTCATTTGAACAACCACAATGTGCAACACATCCAATCTCACTGCCCTTGCTGCCTGCCTGCTACTCTACCCCCCACACTCCCCGCTCTTCCACCCACCCTCATTCCTCTACCTGCGCTCCCGTCTTTCCCCTTTTCACTCCCTCCCTCACCCTCACCAGCAGCAGCGGCGTCGCGGACGTGTTGGTGCAGCCATTGCACCGCATCCACCAGCTGGAACCGCCACACCATGCCGCCGCCGCCGCCACCACTGCTGCTGCTGCTGTTGCCGCCGCCCCCGCTGCCTGCTCCCCCACTCCCACCCCTCCATCCGCTCCCCCGATCCCCGCCTCCGCCTTCCCCGGATGAACCTCCCCCCAGAGCCCCGCCGCCTCTTCCCCCGGAGCTTGCCCCCGCTCCGCTCGCGGGCGGAGGGGCTTCGCGCGCAGATGAACGATCGTCTCGAGACGCGCCGCCGCCGCCAGCGCCGCCAGCGCCGGCGCCGGGACCGGCGGCGCCGGCCGCGGAGTCGAAGTGGTGCGGCGGGAGCGCGAAGTGGTAGAAGGTGAGGGTGGCGGCGGCGTGAAAGGCGTCCGATTCGTGCAGCAGGATTTCGTCAATGCCCGGCGCGAGGTTGAACGGATCGGACGGCAGGCGGAAGCTGCGCAGACGGGACACGATCCCGCCCATGGCGACGCCGGAATGGAGCTGCGAAGAAGGTTCTAGAAGGTGCTGAGAAGAGGATGGGTTAGCGGAATTTGCCTAGAGATTACCGTGATGGCTGTGCGTGGGGTTATTTTCGGATCTTGCGTTTCCCGCTGACTGCGCGATGCAGGGCAGCGCAGGCTCGCCTTTAGTTGCTCATGTGAGACGCGTCGAAAATATGGGATGGAGTGGTGCGGACCTCATCAGTGGCTGGCTGGAGTAGTGTCTGTTGGTATTCCCCATGTGCATGACGCATTTCACGGAGGTGTCGTGTCTTCCGTAATTTGCAATTTAGCATGACCTTTGATTGACCCATGTCATTGTTGTGTCTGTCTGTCATCCCGCCGAGAAACAAGCGATTCCTGTTATAACGGATCGTCGGCAAAGCCTCGTAGGTACAGTAAATTCAGTTGGACAAATACCCTCATCCCAGCGATAATTGTGCAACCGATTCCGTTTATCGCCCTCACGCTGCTTGCAACACCACACCAGCAGCAGTTCTTCGCAGCGCAAGAATGATTCGTCCCCCCCCGCGTTTCGCGCATCTTCGCCGTCATTGCGACGCCAGCATTGACGCACACATAGCGCGTGGCTCAAGCGTTTAGAGGTCAGAGGATCCTATCCCTTCGATCGTCGGATGCCCCAAAACACCAGGCGAAGCGCCGACGATTAAACTCCTCCCTCGATTTATGGCATAGGCGGGACTCTATGAAGGAGGATATGAAATCGCCTGACGGTTCGCCGCCTGTCATGGATAGCGAAATTCCACCGAGTGCGGCACCCGACGCCGCCGCCGCCGCCGCCGCCGCCGCTGCTGCTGTTGCTGCTCCTGCCGTTCCCACTGTCACTCCTGGTGAACTTCCCGCTGATGTTGCAGCAACTGCAGTTCCAGGGCCAGTAAACCTCGCTGATGAGCTGGCGGTTGCGCGAGCGTGTGACACGTGGCACGCCTTGCTTGGTCGGTTGGGGAGCTTGGATAAAGGCCATGAGGATAAGGCTGACGCAAGGGCGGCAGTAGCGACGCCGCCGAGGGAAATAGCGGGGGGGGAAACAGCAGCAGGAACAGCAGCAGCAGCAGCAGGTGTGGGAGAAGCAGTGAAGGGAGCAGCAGCAGTGGGAGCAGAAGCAAGGGGACGCAAGCAGTGCTTGCTAGAGGAGGCGGTGGACTGGTGCATTGACAGTGTATCGCGATGGGACTATAACGAGGCACAACGAGGGGACGGACATGCGGGCGGAAACCTGGAAATCAGAGGAACTGAGATGGGGGAGGGGGCGGGTGGGGCTGGGGTCGACGGGGGACGACAGCGGGAGGAATGCCAAGGGAAGGTGAAGGAAGGGAAGGGGGAGAAGGAGGATGAGATAATGGGAGGGAAGGGACGCGGGGAAGAGAGTGATGAGGGTGCAATGGAGGTTGAGGATGCTGGTGGCATGGCCGATAGGGGCGATAGGGGCAATGTGGGCGACGGGGGCGATAAGGGCAATGGGGGCGACGTGGCAATGGGAGGAGCGAGTGAGGATGAGGCGGTGAGGGATGGGGCTGGCAGTGAGGAGAATGAGAATGCGGTGGGTAGACTGGTGCGGGGCGAGGCCACTGCAGAGCTGGAGGGTGTGGTTAGACGCATGTTGGGGTATAGGGGACAGGGCGCTGGTTCTGCAGTGGAGAGGGGAGGGATGGGAGGGAAGCGGTGTGCGGGTGCTGTTCGAGTGGTGGCACTGCTGGAAGAATGCCTGCTCATGGCACACACTCACTATGCTGCTGAAGTTACCACTCTTGCTGCTCCTGCTCCTGCTCCTGCTCCTGCTCCTGCTACTGCTGCTGCTGCTGCTGCTGCTACGGCACCTGCCGCTTCTCCTGCTGCTGCACCTGTTGTTGCTGCTGGTGGTGCGGTGGGAGGAAGCAGGGGGGGCAGGCAGCCGGTCGAGCGGATGGTATGCAGAGCGCTGGGTGTGGGTGTGCGCGCACACGCACAGAGGCTCGGACGGGGCAGGGAGACGGGGTTAACATGTGCTTGCTTCATCAGGAGTGCGAGAGAAGAAGAGGGAGTAAAAGAGGGGAAGGAGGGGAAGGAGGGGAACGAGGGAGCAGAGAGGAGGAGCGAGGGGAGTGAGGGGATGCATGAGGTTGGGGTAGGGCTCGATTGGCTTCTCGTGCATGTTGGTGGCAAGGCCGAGTGCATGGATGCTGTCCTGGGAGCTCTCATTGACACATGCACATACACCCCCCCCCCTTGGGAATGCAAGCACTGGAACGTGGATGCGTGTGCTCGTGCATGTGAAGGGCAGCAACTAGCTGTGGCAGCTGCTGCTGCTGCTGCTGCTGCTGCTGCGGATGGTGACACGGAGATGGAGGGAGTTAAGATTGGAGGGCAGCACAGAAGCCAAGAGGGAGAGGAAGGGCAGGAGGGGCAGGAGGGGCAGGAGGGGCAGGAGGGGCAGGAGGGCCAAGAGGGGCAGGATGGGAAGGAGGGTGTCGGTGTGGGTGTGACTGGGGGTCAGCAGTTTGTTCGCGTCCTCACCATATTGGACTGCCTTGCAGCCAGGTGACTGCTGTTGCCGCTCTGCTCTCCCTTCTGCTCTGCTGTGCTCTGTTGTGTTGTGCTCCACTGCTCTCCTGTCCCATGATCCCATCTTGTAGCGTTCTCATGCACACCTATCAGCATGTGCACTCATTTTCAAGCGTGCGGAGACTCCCATGCGCATCTCCCTCTCTCCCTTATTCCGTCCATTCCATTCTCCCCTCGTTCCCCTCTCAAACCTCAGGAGCACAACCCTCTTTTCCAGCTCCTACTCTCGCCTCCTCTCAGCCTCCTTCGCCTCGCTGCTTCCTCTCCGCTCCTCGCGTCCTCACCACTGGACAGCACTCCTTCACCTTGCAGTGGGATCCGTCTGCCTCGCCCCCAACGTCCTCCTTGCCCTCTCCTCCATCACCCCCTCTTCCTCCTCGCCGTCTCCTCCTGCCTCTCACAACAATTCCCGAACCTCGTACCAGCTTTCGGTCTCACACAAGTTCTCAACCACACACCTATCTGCAACCACACATGAGCCCTCGTCCGTGTCTCCTCTGCAGCGCCTGCTGTCCTCCCCCCCTGCCACTCTGCTACGCCTCTGGCGCTGCTGCCATAGCGATGGCATGGGTGTGAATGCAGGCATGGGTGTGAATGCAGGCATGGGTGTGAATGCAGGCATGGGTGTGAATGCAGGCATGGGTGTGAATGCAGGCATGGGTGTGAATGCAGGCATGGGTGTGAATGCAGGCATGGGTGTGAATGCAGGCATGGGTGTGAATGCAGGCATGGGCATGGATGGGGGCATTGGGACGAGGGGGGGCAGAGGTGCTGGGATGGAGGGGCGGCATGGCAGGAAGGCGAATGGTTTCTGTGGGTTGGGGGACTACCTACCGGCGCCTCCCTGTGTATGCACTGTAAGGCGTGCTGTGTGTGTTGGGGGGAAGAGGAAAGACTGCTGAGAGGGGGTGTGTTTTGGGATGTCGCATGTCTGCCTTTCGAGTGCATGTTGGTGCGCGACGCCTTTTGAGTCGCCTCAAAAGTATTCTGGTAGCGATGCTTATCTTTGAGCCGACCAAAAAATACTAGATGCTTATCACTTTGTGGTTGTCTTGGCGTCTCCTTGCTGTTAGACGTGCCTGGTTGTGTCTCTGTCCCCATTTCGACCCATCTGCCCATGTATCTAGGATTCATCCGCTCCCCCGTCCGTCCATCCATGCATCAATTGCAAACCAACTTTCTCTCCTTCTCCACCCTCTCCTCTTCTTCTGCTTCCCAGACAGGCACAGTCAGAGGTACAGGCACCACCAGTGGGGTGATAGGTCAACAAGACAGCAAGAGCAGCACGGAAACCGGCACTGCTCATAACTGCCTCTACCACAGCAGCCACAGTCACAGCCGCAGCACCATCGCCACCACCATCGCCACCAGCATCACCACCACTAGCAGCACCACCAGCAGCACGTGCACACTGGCTTCTTGGCTGCGATTCTTCCTTGCTGCCAGGGCGCCGGCTGCTCCCTCCCTCGCTCCCGCCCTCCTCTCTGCTCTCATGCACCTAACCACGGAGCTGAATCGGTTAGCAGATGGTGCAGGTCAGGCCAACCATCCTGATGGAGCCAAAGCAGCAGATTTAGCAGCAGCAGGAGCAGGAGCAGCAGAAGAAGGGTCGGTGGCAGGCGCAGCAGCAGCAGCAGCAGGCGTGTGGGGGAAGGAGGTGGGGGCGCTGCTGGGTTATTACTGTGCTGAGCTCACTGCTGCGGTTGTGAAGTGCACCATTGAAGGTTCGTTCGGGTTTGAATATTCGAGCTTGTGCTGTGTCCATCCTAGGGCGTGGTGTACCCTCCATGCCATGCCATGCGATGCTTGTAATGCCATACAGTTTCTAGTCATCCTCTTCATCTCATCTCACCACACTCTCATCTCCATGTCTTGAATCTCATAGCCTTCCCCGCACTCACGTAATCACATCCGACCATGCTCCTCTCACCCACTCCCACCCACCCCCATCTCCTCCGCTTCTCCTTCCCCCTCTTTTTCGCTGCAGGCATTTCTCCTTTGTCGCCCCAGCACACCGCCACCAGCACCAGCACCAGCGCCACTAACACCAGCAGCAGCAGCAGCACTGCCTATCCCACCAGCACCAGTCTCTCTTTCTCCTGGCGCCGCTGGCTTCCCTCCCTTTCCTCCCTCTCCCTCCACACTCCTCTCCTCTGCTCCCTCCTCCTCTCCCTCTCCTCCTCCTCTGCCCCTGCTGCTGACCCGGCTACTGCTCCTTCTCCTGCTGCTGTTGCTGTGACTCGTGACAGCATGTCAGGCCTCTGGCAGTTGCTGAAGCTGCTGCTGCTGCACTGCACGCCACCAGTCGCTGCTGCCTCACTGCTGGCTCAGATGACTGTTGCAACCAAAGGGAGAAGCAGCAGCGCACGTGCACACATAGATACACGCATAGGCACGGGTGCCGGTGGAGGTGCGGGTGTG